CTGATGTATATACCAGATGCCTCTTGACACTGAGGAATAATACTTCAAAACCATCACACTACCTAGATGAAAATCTACATGGAAATCCATGAAAAAACACAAAGACTGAAAACTGTTTAGTAGGCCTGAAATCAAAATAGGAAGATCTGGTTAAATGAAAACTTCTTAAATAACAATTCTTGGCCTGAAACTAGATTAGCTGCCTAGAATAAACTGGGAGATTTGTTTAAAAATACTGACTTCTAGGTGAGTGGTGCACACTGGAGGCCAGCCTAGGCAACTCAGTAAGACCCTGTCTCAAAATAAAAAATATATATACCAAGAAATCATCTAGACTACTGATCACTTATTTTAATCTGTCCCTGGGAGTGAGATGCTGAGCACACTTTTTCCTTTTAAGAGTACCTTTTTACTTATTCTATTATAAAATGTTTCTGAGTGGAGGAAATTAAAATTTGCTGTAAGTATGTGAAAGGTGATGGATACGTTAATTGCTCATCATAATTATTTTACAGTGTATATTTAACTCAGAACACAATGTTGCATACTTATATGATTTTATCTATTATACTCAAAAAAAAAAAAAAGAGCTACGGATGTAGCTCAATGTGAGACTATGGGTTCAATCCCTGACATACCAGAAAACAAACAAAAAACCTTGATTTTCAGGTCATACCTTAGACCTCTCAATCAAAATCTCTAGGGAGAGGGCCAGGGACACAGCTCAGTGGCACAGCGTCTGCCTAGCAAACATGAGGTCATGAGTTCGATCTCCAATACCACCAAAAAAAAAAAAAAAAAATAAATCACTACTCATTAAGGAATTACATGCAATTAGATACAGGAGTGTTACAGAGCAGCCAGGTACGGTAATTGTGAGATAAGAAAGGAAAAAAAAAAAAAAAACCTCTAGGGAGACACCAAGGAATCTGTATTTTTAATAACTGCCCCTGAGTGGTTCTCATGGACAGCCAGGTTTGGAAGCTACTATTAATTTTGATGCCTGGAGTTACCCTTCTCTGAATCTGGTGCATCCGTCTCTACTCAAGGTCTGGTCTCTATAAGCAGCAGAATTACAATTCTTATTCTGACTTCTTTTTCTTTATTTCTTCTTGATTGCCCCTCCCCTCTCCTAAATTCCTAGTAGCAAACAGGACAAGTATAAGTGACTGGATATTTTTCCCTGGTTTAAAAAAAATCACATTTCTAGAAAAAAGAAATTTGAAAAACCACATTTCTCTTACGTTTATCAGATTGACAGTAACTGTGACTGTACCTGATGTTACACAAATTGTCTTAATCGATTTATAACAATCTCTTGTAATAGCAACATCTTGATCCTTTGAACTTATGTGTAAAAAATAACTGTGACTTGTAATAAAATATTATTAAACCATCCATCAGCTAATATCTTGAGTAGTTCTTTTTAAATTTTTGTTGGAAGCATGGATTGGAACTTGTTATAAAAAGTCCAAAATTCATTCACTCCCTTAACAGACCTTTGTGTGCCACTCCAAAAGTTTTCTGAGGGAGTAGATAGGAGGTATGTCTTCCTCTTATTAAGGAAGAAAAGAAAAGAAAAAGTGAGAAAGAGAAACCTAGAGGCCATAACCTCATACTCAAGCAGATCAGTCATAGGAAAGGAACACACACTGGAACACACTGAAGTGAAAGATCTAGAAACTGATATCTGGGCCAGGGATATAGCTCAGTGGCACAAGTGCCTGCCTGGCAAGCACAAGGCCCTGAGTTTGATTCCTGGTACCAAAAAAAAAAAAAAAAGAAATAGAAACTGATATCCATTCAACAACCTATGTACCCACAGATAGAAAGCATTCAAGTACTTACTGCAGAAGATGGGCAAGCAAAGCCTCAGAGCCTAGGACATATAAGAGGAGTAGAAAAAATAAAGAAATGTTTTGACTTCAATATAATGTGCAATGTTGGGACAGATACAAAAGGAAAGGAGGTAAGTGAAGACGCATTAAGTTTGCTGTGCAACAGGATGATGAGCACTTACAATGGGATATGCGCTAAGCAATTTGCAGACATTTTGTTTAATCTTGCAACCTCCTGATGAGACTCAGCATACTCTCCTGAATATCTCCAGTGGTGCTTTTGGCATCCTTCAGGGAGGGTGGAATCTAGGGAGACGTGTGGAAGACAGAGAGTGAGGTACTTGGGGATGTTAGCCAGGACACATGTGAGATAACTGAGACAGAGGAGCAAGTAAAGAGATAGACAGAGGAGTGGCATGCTGAGAGGAGTGGCATGCTGAGAGGAGTGGTTACTGAGAGGATGAAGAATATGAGAAGCACATGGAACCATGGTTATATATCTTGGAAACTGGGACAAGGTTTTATTTTGAAATGTCAAAATTTATAATCCACCAAAAAATACCATCCTTTGCAATTATTAAAATTTATGATCAGAAACAGAAGCTGGGCATGGTGGGGCATGCCTATAATCCCAGCATTCAGGAGGCTGAGGCCGGATAATTACTGAGTTTGAAGCCAGGCTGAGCTACACAGCAAGTTTGAGGCCAGCTAAACTACACAGTGAGATCCTACCCCAAAAAAAAGAAAAAAAGAGAGAAAGAAAGAAATGAAAACATAAAATATACAGGAGACCCAAATCTTTTCAAAATTATTTTGTGGGATCCTGGCAAAAAGATGATCCCAGTAGCTTTATTCTCTTTGAGAGAACTTACCTCATTCAGAACTTCTAGGAGTGAACCTCAGTTGGGTTAATCCAATCAAATCAGTATCATCCCCCTTGCAAGGACTGGTTCAGCAGGGTTTCAGGAATTCCTGGTTTATTTGAGTCAACAATTATCATTTTAGGTACTGTGGATCAACCCAGAGGCACTCTACCACTGTGCTACAATCTAGCTTTTTTTTTAACTTTGAAATAAGGTCTCTCAAAGTTGCCAAGGCTGGCCTCAAACTTGTAATCCTCCTGCCTCACTCTCCTGTTGCTGGGATTACAGGTGCACCAATACAACCAGATCAATATTTTAAGGAAGTCTGCTGGGAGTTTCTAGGAATAATTGGCTGCCATTTTGCAAACCACAAGAAGAGACTATATACTGTTGGCTAGGGATGCTGCTACTATCACCAGCCTGGGGATAAAGTTAGGTGGAGCTTAAAAAAAAGTTAAGGGGAAATGTAGCCAAGGCCACTGGATTGTCAGTCCTGAAATTGCTATACCTCTTGACTTCCAATCTATGATAATTTTTTGTTTTGTTCCTTCTTTTTAAAACTGGGTATCAGCTGGGTGTGGTGGCACATGCCTGTAATCTCAGCACTCAGGAGGCTGAGGCAGGAGGACTGCTTCATGTTCGAGGCCAGCCTGAACTACATAGCAAGACTCTGTCTTAAAAGAAAAAAAAAACAACACAAGGCCTCACTATGTAGTTCAAGCTGGGTTTTAACTATGTAGCCCAAGATGGCCTCTAATTCAAAGCAATTCTCCTACCTCAGCCTTCCAAGTGAGATTACTGGTGTGCACCATCCTGCACAGCTGAGAATTTATATACTTGCAATTTTAAGCTAGGCTAAGTTAGATTTTGTTACTCATAAACAATAATATTAACTGATACAAATGTTCTCCCTTCTGAAAGGCAAAGTCACTAAATACTAAACATCCAGTACAAGTACCACCTCCTCCCAAAATCTTCAGTAACATCCACAGGAAGGAGGTTCTCTCTTCATCTTCTGAATCAGGATTGCACTAGCCATTTTCTCACCTCTTTCTTTGTACTATGCTTTTCATGTCATTTCCTGTTTATTGCTCCCCAAAGCCTCCAGAACAAAAACTTCTTACATGGTTCCTAATACCCTTGATCAGGTCTGTTTCCCTTCCCCATCTCCTTTTCCACGTACTTCTAAAACAGCTGAAAGCTGCAGTCATGGTCAATGTCCCCTCAGTGTTCAAACACTTCCTATCTTTTAAAGTTGCTCTGCATTTGAGAATAAATTATTCCCAAGTCCTGGTATTATTGCTCACCCTATGTACTTAAGACTCAGTGGCAGCAGGTACAGTCCCCTCTATTTTTTTTTTTTTTCTTTTTGAGAGAGGGTCTCGCTATGCAGTTCAGGCTGGCCTTGAGCTCACTTTGTAGCCTAGGCTGGCCTCGAACTCCCAACGATCCTCCTACCTCAGCCTCCTGAGTGCTGAGGTTACAGGCGTGTGCCACCACACCACACCTGGCTAGTCCGCTCTATTTTATTCCTGACTCCCAGTCACTAAGACAGATACCTCTTCATATTATGGCAATCATCCCAGTGTGTTCTTATTTTCGTGTCTATTTTCTTCTCTAGAGCATAAGTAAAAATAACCTTCTACTCATCTTGGTTTTCCCAGTACTTAGCACATTCCAGATACCTGGTAAATGTTTGTTCAGTGAATTTGTATAAGAATCTTATCTGCTCTTGAGGGATAAAGGCAGATTTCTTTCACCTTTGTACCTAAAGTGCCTAGGACAGTAGCTGCCACATAACTATTTGTAAAGTATGTCCCTTCGGCCAATCTGCATAATTGAAGGCACTATGGTCCTTCTCTGTCCTGCCTCTGGTACCGTTTCCTTTCCATAGCTAACCCTTATAAGCCACTATTCTGTGTGTCAGCACAGGGTACAACCGGGCACGGGGCCTTAACTTGTGCCCACCATCTCGTCCCAGCGGTCTACTTGAGCACGGACTGTCTGAGGAATGCACAGCTCCCCTGGGTCCCCACGTCGGACCCTGCTTCTCCCGTTCCTGCGGCTGACAGGTACTGAACCAGAACGGAGACAACCCCTGGCAGTGTCCAGGCTCCCCCCACCTTCTCGGTGTGCACGTGGGGAAACGGAGGCCCGGGAGTAGCCATAAAGTCCAAGGTCACACAGCAAGAGCGCGTCAGGACCGGGCCTACACCTAGGGCTCCCACTCCTCTCGCAAGCTGGGGAGCGGCGAGCCCAGTGCCGTCCTCCTCCCAGCCATGACAGAACGAGATCTCACCGCTGGCCGCGACGGCCCCACGCTCGCTCAGCTCGGGCGCCGGCGCTGCTCCGCCGCTCTCACAGAACCCCAGCTGTTGTCTGGGTGTCACGGGCGACGAGCATCGGCCACTTCCGGTACCCGGGCGGCATTCCAGCCAATCAGCGCGAGCCGCACTCGCAGGGCGAACAGGTGGCCAGCTGGCCGAGCCTCCCGGTCTCTTCCCGCTTTGCTTCCCGCGCGTTCTCTGCCTAACCCAAGCCTCATTTTGCCACCGCCTCCCAGGCGACTTCCTACAGTACCTCTGTGCACCAGGCGACGCCCGCTTCTGCCCCAGGATCACTGACGAGCTGAGTCCTCCGGGTTTCCTAGAACGGCTCGGGGGATGCACTTCCGCCCTATGAGCGGCCGCTCTGCGCACTGGTGTCGCTCCCGAAGAGTTTCTGTGGGCTGGGCAAGTTGGGAATAGCTTCACCTTTCCGCGACCCGTCGACCCCTGCATCCCGCTTTTCTCTTATCCCCTTACTCGCTTTCCTGAGTTCTATGAGTCTGGTACACACCGGCCTCTAAACCATACTAGTCATCTGGAAGCGAAGGGAGTCCTGCTCTGAGGTCAGGGAAGGCTTGAGCAAGTGATGTTTGGACAGAATCTGAAAATTATGTGTGAATTGCCTAGTTTTAAGAGTCGGAGAGAGAGCGAGCTGTTCAGGCAATGGAATCATAGCTCCCATGAACAAACTTGGCCCATATTTGCCACAGACCCTTTATACTTGTTACTTCCTCTGCTCTGTATAATTGCACAACTAGCGCCTCGGCTTTCAGTTTAACTATCAGGAGGTTGAAGAAGTCTTCCACCCTGATTAATGTTGCCTCAAATTATAGCACGCCTCCCAAGTATCAAATGCACGGAAAGACTGTCATCGGTCCCGTTTGGGTAAAGTTCTCACTCCAGGACCAGCCTGGTGTGATTACCCACGCCTGGATCACCTGTTTGCCCCAGTGGTAAGGGTCAGCTTCTGTGTTTGCCTCTCCATAATTCTGTAAACACCTACTTTCAGAAAGAAATGTTGTGTTATGGATCTAGTACACAACCTAGCAGAAAGGAAAACTTTCTCTTGAGGTCATCCTTAAGATTCCAGGGTAGGGGCTGGGGATTTAGCTCAGCGGCACAGTGCCTGCCTGGCAAGCGCAAAGTCGTGAGTTTGATTCCTGGTACCGGAAGAAAGAAAAAAAAAAAAGATTCCCGGGTACCTCACTTTAACTACCCTCACACCAACATCCTTAACTCCCTTGCCCTCCTATCTGCAACTGCCTAGAAAGTTTGTTAAACCTGATTCAGTCAAAATATCTATCTTGTCCAGGCTGCAAATGAGTGGGGAAACTACATTTTGGAGAAGACCCCTGAGACAATTTTATGGTCTCTGTTTTCCAAAGGTCTTGGAGTTAGGCCCAGAAATCATTTCCTCTTTCCCTACCAACTTGTCTACCATTTTCCATGGTTGCTGTTTCAACCTTCATTCTGCTCAAACCTTTCTCTAGGCTCTGAGCCAAGAGGAATCAATTTCTATCACAATCATTGTCAGCTGTATTCATCCCAATGAAAGATATGCAGGCTATCAATGTATTCTGCCTCAGAACTAAGAGTGGAAGACATTTGGGTCTGACTTGCTGAGTACACCTGCATTAATGGGCATCTGCTTCAAGAACCTAAATCAACACTTCTCAACCATGGCTGCTGCACTTTGGATGTTATGGTTCATACATTGTGTCAACTTGGGAAGTCTAGAGGTTTGGCTAAATGACTGTTATGGTTGATACATTGTGCCAACTTGGGGAGTCTAGAGGTTTGGCTAAGTGACTCAGCAGTTCTGCCTCTTGGGGTGAAAAGGACATGCCCTAACCCTTCTGGGATGTTGTTCATTGTGTCAATTTGAGACGTTTAGAGGGTTAGCTATGTGATTCAGCAGGGAGCCAGGGTGCTTACTTTGTATTCATCCTGAGCCTGTGCAAGAGGGCATGGAGATTATGTGAGTGCTACAATCCCCCTGGGTGGGGGTAGCCTTCTTACAGCGTAAGGGATAGAAAGAGGCTGCTTGCCGCCACTCCTCCCTTTTGCTCTTGCTGCTTTTGCTATCTTCCGCCTCCATGAACTGTTGCCCTCTGCCATGTGCCACTCTGCCTTGGAGCCAGCCAAGTATGGACTGAAACCTCCAGAAACTGTGAGTTAAAGAAACCTTTCCTTCCTTAATTGTGGGTGTCAGTTATATTGTCCCAGCAATGAGAGAAAAGTAACCAAGACATTGGAGATGCAGTGGCAAGCAGAAACATCGAAACATCATCCAGGATTTGGAGGCAAGTTTATTTACATCAATAGACCTGACCTCAAAAAATGTCAGGCCCTGATCTCTGGTAATTTAGGGCTTATATGGTGTTTGTAAGTGGGAAGTACAGAAGCCAAGTATTTGGCAGTTATAGATTGATTACATCTTATGTCATTATTTCTGATTGGCCTAAGAGAAAACTACATCATATATGTTGCATACTAAGGCAAGTTCAAACTCTGGGCAAGCTTGGAGTTACAGGAAGCATACAGGTTTAAGATAGGGGCAAGCTTGGAATTTCAGGAAGCAAGAGCTTGAGTTAACATACATGTTCAGGGTACAGTCAATTAGATCAAGGAAATATGTACCAGCATTGGTGAAAGACAGGAAGACAAATCTGCTCAGCTAGTTACAGAAGTTTAACTCCAAAAAGTTAACTCTCCATTCTCTGCTTCAGAATCACGTGGGAATCTAACAATACTTAGGTCTGGTGACACCCGCATAGATTCTGTTGAGATTGATCTGAGATTAGCTCTGGGCATAGTAGTTGGCTTTTCCTTTCGTTTTATTTGTGATACTGGGAACTTCATTTCTTTTTAACTGTTCAGACAATTTCTAAACAGCCAAGTTTAAAAATCAGTAGCAGAAGTCAGTAGTTCTGGAGGTGTGGTCCCTCAACCTGGGGCACTAGTGTTGCCGAGGAACTTGTTAGAAATGTATTTGGTTTAGTTGGATTCTGTTCAGTTCAATTCAGGGTCTTGCTATATAGTTTAGGCTGGCCTTGAACTTACTATGGACCTCAAACTTACTGTGATCCTCCTGCCTCCTGAGTGCTGGAACTACAGGTATGTGCCACCACTACCCACTATTGTCACTTAGGCATGGTGGTACACACCTATAATCCCAGTACTCCGGAAAGGTGAAGGAGGATTGCAAATTCAAGCCCAACCTAGGCAATTTAGTGATTTAGTGAGACCCTGCCTCAAAATTAAAAGGGCTGAGGATGTAGCTGAGTGTGAAGAACCTGTGTTCAGGTCCGATACCGCAAAAGAAAAAATGCAAATTCTTGGCCCATGTAGGGATTGACAACTGGTGGTCAATTTATAACCCCCTGCTGAACTGAGTAAGCGTGGTGCTGGGTGTGGGAGGCCCACCTGGGACTGTTGCCAGCAGCATAAGAGGCAGAACTGGAGAAGAAGAAGTGAGGCTGTTGGGAGCTGAAAGGCTGTTGGAGCTGGTGGAAGCTGTAACGAGCTGTTGGTTCTGTTGGAGGAGCTTGTCATGCTGGCTTTCCTGATGAACTTGGCTGTTTTCATCCTCCCAGAAGCTTGGGGCCTTGTTGACACTGAGAATAGCTTCAGTTCACTTTGGGGGAGCTCTGGTCCTCACTCTGAGCATCGCTTCCTGGCTCCAGAAGGGAAAATGGTGCACAGCCCAGTCTCCTGAAGGAGCTTGCTGCATTGGCTTTCTTGATGGGAACTCAGCTGTCTTCACCACTGAAGGAGCTTGGGACCTCACTGTTGCTGAGGATGGCTGTGGTACCTTCTGGGGGAGCTCTGATTCTTACTTTGAGCATTGCTGCCTGGCTCCAGTGCAGATCCCTCAGCCTGCTAGCACAGATCCTTCATCCTGTTGGCACAGACTTCCTAGTTTCCACCACTGACCTTTGGGCCTTCCCAGTGCAGATCCGTGAAACAGACCTGCATGAGACATTGTTTTGAGCTCTAGGCCTCCAGTTGGATTCGTGGGAAGCACTGTTATGGGCTCAGGGTATTCAGCTGGACTCATGCAGGACATTGCCATGGGATCCAGGCCTTTGGCTAGACTCCTTGGTCGATAGTGTGTAGACAGACTTCCTGCACTCTCTTGCATATCATCCTTGGGTGAATATTATAAATAATCTTATAAAATATGTGTCCTGTATTATATTGTTCCCGGGCTGGGGATATAGCTCAGTGGCATATCACTGTCTTGAAAGCATGAGGTCATGAGTTCGATTTCTGGTACCACCAAAAAAAAAAAAAAGAAAGGTCGGTATGATATTGTTCCCTTGCAATATTCCCAAACCATAACAGCCCATATTCACAAATCTACTGAACTGGAAACTCTGGGTTAGAGCCCAGCAATCTGTGGGGATTTCAGGGTAGGGAAATATTTGCCTTCAGTACTAGAAAATGAATCCAGAGCCTGGCACATGCTGGCCAAGTACTCTACCACCAAGCTACACTTCCAGCCATTTGTGTTTTTTAGAATCTTGGTAAATTGCCCACACTGATCTTGGCCTTATGACCCTCCTGCCTCAGCCTCTCAAATAGCTGGGATTACAGGTGCTTTCCACCATGTCCGGCCTGTTTTTTTTTACTTTCTTTTTTCTTTTCGGGGGTGAATTTCTTGCTATGTTGCCCAGACTGGTCTCAAACTCCTGGACTCAATTGAGCCTTCTGTCTCAGCCTCCTGAGTAGCTGGGACTACAAATCCATGCTACCATACTCAGGGCAATCAGCTTGTTCGGGGTTCTCAGAGAAACTAAAGTTTGCAAACCCTTAGCCCAGACATTGACAGTGCTTCACTTGTTCATCCCTTTATGTAAGTTAGAAAGGGAAAGGATATGTTGTTTCCTTCTGGCTACTCCCTCGTGCACCATCTGCTTTATTACAGTAGCCAATTTAAAAGCCATCTGGAGCAATATGAATCTGTGGAGGGAAACAGACCAGGGTATATGGTCCACAAACGCTAGTCCCAGTTCCAGTGTATGTGGGGATGTACATATGAGCAGGCAGAGGCTGATGTTGTGAAACATACTCACAGGCTTGTGCTTATAAGTAAGTATGAGTAGTTTTGTTTCTCTTGAAAAGAAATTGCAGGTAGACCATCCTCCCAGAGTCACAGAGGGACAGGTACATGGGGAATAAGAGACATTCTGATTGTGTTCACACTTGACCCTTTTATCTGCGGAAGGTATAGGAAAGAGAGATGCAAGCACTGACTGTGCTCCTTCCTTATACTGTAAAACCACATCACCT